TACGTCATAAACCATAATCACTCAACGGAAATTTATCAATCATCAATCATCATGCATTATTCATTAATCATCGATTCTCAATCATTAATCATCCTTCATCAATCATCAATCATCAATCAACATACATCATGAATCCGCAAGGAATTTAAGGCGTCTATCCTAAAGTCCTAACTGCATGATATCTATGTTCTCTATCATCATGTCTAAGCGAATAGAAGAAAGAGGAGTTTTGTCGAGTTCCCTCACCTTTATCTCAATGGTGAATCTCAAAAAAGACTCGCTCTAATCCTCTATCCCGGATCTAAAACTTCGAGGTTTTCTTCATCTATAATTAATTAACAATTAAGAATCATGATCGGTTGTAAAACAGTTTTCGAAAATCAGAAAAAGGATCGAATCTGTATCATCCGAAAAAAAATCTCGACAACAACGCGGAGAAAATTATCGTAGTGGAGAATACTTGAAAAGAAATAAAATAAATAATAATATTAATATTAATAAAGATAAAGAACGGGATGATAGAGAAATTACCGATAGAAAATCCTAATGGTCATGGAATCCGACGGTTGCAACAATAGAAAGAGAATGAAAAAGTACATAACTATATGATTATATGAGAGAGAGGAGATGTGTGAGAGATAGGTGAGAAAAAAAAAAAGAAAAAAAAAGGAGACATGGAAAGTCAAGAGAGAGAGAGAGAGAGAGAGAGGTGGCTGTGTAAAGGGGATGGGTAAATGATGAAAAAAAAGATGAAACCTAATAAAAATTATAGTTTAATCATTTATTTTATAGAATTTTTAAATTTCTCCTAAATTTCTATTTTGTGTTAAAAAGTCCTCATATAAACAACACATTTTCTCCAACCTTTTTAATTTTATCAACTAACCCTTAATTAAATTTTTTTCAAAAAATTCGATTGTTATAATTCCACCACCCTTAAAAGAGAATTCGTCCCAAATTCTAGAACGACTTAATATAGTATGTACGGTATTTCTTACCAAAAAGGTGGGGATAACGAGTGTTCATGTCGTCCTCTAATTTCCAAGTCACATCTCCTCCTTTGTGGTATGTCCATGTGACCTTTAGTAGAGGAATTTTTCTTCTCCGCAGTTGTTTCACCTTTCGTTCAACAATTTCGATAGGTTCATCTTCATAAGTCTCATCCAGTTTTAACTCACACGGTTGATAATCAATAACATGATCATGATCAGGATGGTACTTCCGAAGTATTGACACGTGAAACACATTATGAACTTGTGTAAACTCCAGGGATAGAGCAATCTTATAAGTTATTGCTCCAATCTTACTCACTACCTTGAAAGGTCCAATGAATATGGGTTTTAGTTTCCCAGCCATTCCGAAGCGTGCTTTTTTTTTTTGCTTGTACTTTGAGAATTACTTCGTCATCCTCTTGGAAGGTCAACTCATGTCTATGCTTATGCGCATAACTTTTCTGTTTATCTTGTGCTGTCTTCCTCTTTCTGGATCACTTTAATCTTATTCCTAGTTTCATCCACTATATCAGGACCCAACAATCGTCTTTCCCCAACTCTTGTCCTACAAAGAGGTGTCTTACAAGGTCTTCTATATAACGCCTCAAAGGGTGACATCCCGATACTTGAATGAAAACTATTATTATAGGCGAATTCCACAAGTGGTAAGTGACGATCCCATTCTCCTCTCCAATCCAATACACACGCACGTAACATATCCTCTAGCGTTTGTATCGTTCTCTCTGATTGTCCATCGGTCTGGAGATGATAAGCTGTACTCAATCGTACCTTAGTGCCCATAGCCTCTTGTAAACTGTTCCAAAATCTCGAAGTAAATCGTGGATCTCTGTCCGACACGATACTAATAGGGATTCCATGAAATCTTACCACCTCTTCTATGTAGACCTGTGCTAAACGAGGCATTGAGAATGTCTTTTTAATCGCGATAAAATGTGCAGACTTAGTTAAACGGTCCACAATAACCCATGTAGCATCATTTCCTTTTGATGTCCTTGGCAAACCAACTATAAAATCCATCGTCACCAAGTCTCATTTCCACTGAGGTATCGATAGCGACTGTAGTTTTCCTGCAGGTACTTGGTGCTCGGCTTTAACTAGCTGACACGTTAGACAATGAGTAACAAACTTTGCAATATCCTTTTTCATGCCATGCCAAAGAAAGTACTGCTTCAAATTCCGATACATCTTTGTAGTACCCGGATGTATGGAATATCGCGTATTATGCGTCTGTTTCAATAACTCTTTCCTTAATTCTTCATCTTTAGGCGCATAAGCACGATCTCTCAATAGTATCACCCCATCATTTGAAGTGGAATACCCTGCCCTTGTAAAATCTTCGGGCTTTTCCATCAATTCTTTCGTTTTTTTCATCCGTTTCTTGAGCCATCTTCACCTTTTCCAACCAACTATCCCATTTTATAGCACTAGTTTCCAACCCATCTCGATTTTTCTGAGCTGATATCTGCATTAAACTCAATTGAATTGTTAGGTCACTCGCCAATCTCAAAGTAGATAGCTCAACTTTCTTTCTACTCAAGGCATCTGCAACTACATTAGCTTTGCCAAGGTGATAGGCAATATCCACATCATAATCTGCCACTAGTTCCATCCACCTGCGTTGTCTCAAATTAACTTCCTTTTGCGAGAACACATATTTGAGACTCTTATGGTCAGTATATACTTGAACCTTCTCTCCGTACAGGTAAGATCTCCAAATCTTGAGTGCGAAAATCACTGCTGCAAGTTCTAAATCGTGAGTAGGGTAGTTTTCTTCATGTTTTCGCAGTTGGCGTGATGCATACGCAATAACTCGGTCTTCTTGCATCAACACGCATCCTAGCCCTTGGTGAGAGGCACACTATACACCACAAACGGTTTTTCGGGCTTTGGTAATGCCAAAATAGAAGCTGATGTCAAACGCTTCTTCAACTCTTCAAAACTTGTCTCGCATTTTTCGTCCCATTTAAACTTCACACCCTTTCCCGTCAATCTCGTCAATGGCTTAGATAGGTTGGCAAAACCCTTTACAAACTTTCTGTAATATCCAGCCAATCCGAGGAAGCTTCGAATCTCTGTGGCATTAGACGGCCTCACCCAATCAACTATAGCTGTCACTTTGGATGGATCTACTTTCACTCCTTCCGCAGACACCACATGCCCCAAAAATCCTACCTCTTGCATCCAAAAGTCACACTTACTCAGTTTTGCGTATAACTTTTCTCTCCTTAAGTGTTCCAACACCTTCTCCAAATGTATCATATGGTCCTCACGAGATTTGGAATACACAAGGATGTCATCAATGAAGATTATAACAAACTCGTCCAAATAATCCCTGAATGTTGTGTTCATCAACTCCATAAAAACTGCAGATGCATTAGTAAGTCCAAACGGCATGACAACAAATTCAAAGTGTCCATACCTTGTTCTGAAAGCATTTTTCTTATATCATCATCAAGAACACGTATCTGGTGGTAACCTGATCGTAAATCAATCTTCGAAAACCAACTAGCACCTTGAAGTTGGTCCAATAGGTCATCAATTCTTGGAAGTGGGTATTTGTTCTTTATTGTTACCTGATTCAATCCTCGATAATCGATGCATAATCTCATACTCCCATCTTTCTTCTTAACAAATAGTATAGGAGCACCCCCAAGGAGAAGTACTAGGTCTTATAAAACCTTTTCCATGTTGGGTTTAGCTACGGATTCCTAGCATGCGATCATATCGATCTAGGGTTTGGTTTACTAGGTTTCATTCAGCGGAAGAAAGATCTAAACCTAGTCAAACGTCACACGCAACCAAACATGCAAAACCCGAACAGATCGTGTATATCACCGTGGGAATCAAATACTTACCTCTTTCCTAAAGAAACGGAAGTAGGAGTCGATCCGGGGCCTGTTTAATCACCTAGGACTGAAGTTACAGTCCTTCTACACGTATCCACACCGACGGGAAGGATTCCAAACGCTTTTGGAACCGATCGATCTGCTAGGATCTGTGAAGTATATGAAGTGGGATCTAATCCCGGGAGCTAGAACTCTTAAAGAAACAATTTCTTCTGAGTTTTTGCTCTGTCTTAGGGTTCTGAAAGTCAAATCTTCACTTAGGACGGCGTTCAACACCTCCTTATAAGATAGAAACCCTAATCCTTGTGAAAAGAGACTTTTTCCGAGTATTGACTCGGTCCGAGTCAGAACGAATCAGCACAAGCCCATAGTCAACTCTTGACCCGGTCCAATTAGTATTGACTCGGTACGAGTCAAAACTTTGACTCGACCGAGTCAAAACATCAGCCAAGCCCAAAACACTTTCTGGGCTTCGACTCGCATGGAACTGACTCGGTCTGAGTCAAATACTGACTCGGTCCGAGTCAGAAGGCTGAAAACGTCCTGACACTCTGATTTGATCCGAAAACGGTTTTTCCGACCAAATCCAAGTCTTCCTTTCCGATACTTCACATATAAGTCCATCCCTAATGGTGTGTGACCCTGTAGGCCCATTCGCAGTGGCAGCAGCCTCGAGAACCATTCTCGATCTACAAGTCATGG